AAATAAAATATTTGCCAATAAAAACGGTTGCAATTTTCTCTGAATAATAATTTAGAACCAGGAAGTAATGCTGTCAGTTTTTTTTTCTTTTTGATAAACTTTAAGCACATATTTCTTTTAGAATATGTTTGATTTTATTGGCTAGGATTTTATTATAAAACTAGTTTGTGCTTTGAWTTTTTTTAAACCAACACTTACCCCMTCCCTTTGCCAATTTCCCACTAACCTTCACAGCACTAATGCAATACTCAGTCACTGAGTGATTCCCAGAACAAAGACATCCTTATTTACTCTGAATCCTTTTATGGCCTTTAGAAAAATGACTCTTCAGAGTTGTTGGACACGAGCTTTGGCTTCCTGTAAAACATTTCAGAGTGACTACATGAAATCTAGCAATGATAAGGGACAATTTACAAAGGAGTAAAGGGAAAGCTAGGGTGGGGAGACGAGAGGAATGAGGAAAAGCGGAAGTACCAGAGGGTAGACCAAGGGAAAGACAGGATAGCGAGGGAAAATCCCTTCTCTTTCCCCGGAGTGTATTCTCCTTTACAGGCATTCCTGCAAAATGAGTTGATCAACATAAATAAGACGAAAAGATAAGAAGAGTGGAGATTTATGGGCATGAAAAATAGCTCGAGGCCATAGGCAGTGTCAAACACACAGGGAGGTGGAATGCAAAAGCAGACAAATCTYTTTTTTTCTTTTTTCCCCCCCTTTGCAGTGCAGGAGGCTGAAGTCAGTTCTGTTGCACAAACAGCATGCAATCTTAAGTCAATGTTGTAGACAGTTACACAGATAACATCAGTCAGTCCGCCAGTTTTGGTTAAAGTCTCAAAAAGATGCATGCAGTGCGAGATATAAAAAAAACACACAATGGTGAGAGAGTGAGGCTGACAGACAGAGAAGCACGCGCAGGAAGGGAAAGTCCCTGTAAACTACCCTCTGAACCTCAGAGCAAGGTATGTTGAGAAACAGCCCAAAGCAAAGCAGGCGGGGAGGGGTGAAAGTCATGTGACTTCTCGGAACAAGGATACTAAAGCACACAAACACACACAGACGTTTCGTTTGTGCACGCGCATGCACACATTTGCACAAAAAAATAACCCCAAAAAAAAAAACACTGCATGCCAACCAGCAGGTTGTAAATTAAAAGCAAATATTACTTTAGATTACTAGCCTGACCGCAGCTGTAGCGCATAGCTGCATGAAACAATCTGAGCATGCTGTAGGGTCTGCAGCGTTGAGAGTTTCAGTCATAAAGCCCACCAACACAATCAGCTGTCACAACAATAGCAAAAAGTAGATCGTGTGCTTCTGTAGGCACACTGATAGCATGACCGATGTGGGAGTATCAAACAGCTGTCTCCTAACCAACGTAGTGGAAGGCAAATCATGCTCTGACACTTGCGCTATTGTTCAACAACAGTTCTGATAGTAACACTCTGTCAAAAAGTTCCACATACAAAACCACAGAAACTTAGGATTTGTCATCAATATTGGGAAAAACAAAACAGCCCTGTTGTTTAAATTCTGTCTCGGGGATGTTGGTCAATGCTGGAAAATGTGTCCAAAGCTGGTTTAGTAAACTTTATGTTTTGAAAAATAAAAACTTCCCTGGCCTCATTTAGATAAGTGTGTTCTTTATGCCTGGTATTCAGTCAAAACCACACAATCTGGTAGGCAAATGACTGTGATGGGACTTGTGCTTGTAAATCTCCCCTTCTGGTTATAATTGCATATGATATACAGTGTGTGTGTGTGTGTGTGTGTGTGTGTGTGAGAGAGAGAGAGAGAGAGAGAGAGAGAGAGAGAGAGAGAGAGAGAGAGAGAGAGAGAGAGAAAGAGAGAGAGAGAGCCTGTTGCGTGCAAGCATTTTCATAGACAGGGCAGACACAGGATATCACAAAACTTATGTTGTCAAGCCTCAGCGATAAGGAAAAAGAACAGCAGCATTATTTCTGGTAAGCATGCCTGCAGCGTCCTGTGTGGTGTGAAACCCCAGTCGTCAGAACTACAGCTCTGCACATCTCAGGTGCTTTTTCAGTTGAAGGATGAAAAAGAGACAGCTGGCAGAGACCAGATAAGCAGGGCAATGAGGTTAAGACCACAAAAGGGTGCAGAATGTGGAAGTGTTGGGTCAAAACCAATGGCTGGGACAGTCCTGGATTAGGAAACACTCGCATTCCTTGTGCACATTCCAGTAAAGACAACATATCTTACATTTCTCATGAGGTTAAAAAGCAGGGAGTTGAAAGAATAGCACAACTTTTAATCATGTCACAAAGGTTTTGGACCTATGTGTTAACTGTTTTCATTTAGGTCAGTGCAAACATCCCAAACTCTCTATACTATAGAAGAAAAGCAAAACAAATATTTACTGGAAAGTAATTTGATTACTCAGGCTCTGCACTTTTTTTGTTTCACTGACTGTAAAGACATGAAATAACCTGTGAGTGCAAGGTTCAAAAAGGTTAATGGGAGTCACTCTTTGTACCTTTTTGTTCRTCTTGGCATTCTTTTCTGCCTTTCAGAACACGCTACACCCTACAACCCATAAAAATCCCTTGCTACAGGGAAACAGAGTGCTAGAAAATCRTACACAAAATAACACAGAACATTGGAAAGAACACACAGTCTTGCCCAGAATGCACATAGCTTTGCTTTTCAAAAGTACAGATGGAGACACCAGGAAAGGTAAATTCCACCTTATTAGCCTCAGCTACCATGTTATAGTGTTCAAAAACACAGAGAAAGGAAAGGAGGAAACCAAGGCACTTCTTCTTTAATGTTCTTCCATGTTGATTGATTGATTGATTGATTGATTGATTGATTGATTGATTGATTGATTGATTTATTGATTGATTGATTGATTATTTATTTCAAGTTAGTCAAAAAATCATATTCATTAATCATATTAGATTCAAATAGAGAAAAGAAAAAAAGATTAAAAACAATATATAATAACTAATACACTCGATCCATTAAAAAAACACAATACAATAAAGAATACAAAATAACTAACTTGTAAAGGAGTGGGATGAAGACAAGCTTATTTACTCCCACCCCATTACATGTTAAAGACATTCACACATTCTTTATACAGATGCCACCATTACAGATGATCACTCATTATTATAATACTAATTGTCATGACCTAACACAATATAATGACCTATCAACAGCATTACGTAATTACCATTGCCTCAAYACTATTGTTGATGTCAKTGTTGAGGCAGAGGAATGATCTTGAGGTAGGATTTCCACAGTACCTCTTATATAACTTCACTCTATTCCATTTCTATTAAATCTGATACCTTTTATTAAAGAAAGCATATTATAAGTCTGTGTGTGCACAATGACATTTTAAGATGCACCATCATTTTGGCTTTGCTTTACCTGACGGAGATTGTTGTAGATATCGAAGCCTCTGCGAGCACACAGCAGCAGTTCGATGAGTTTGCAGACCATGGACATTTCCCCCTGCACCACAGCTATATGGAGAGCTCTGCAGTGGAAACAAGCAGAAAGACTTTTTTACTCATGTAACAAAAGAAAGACAAACTTTACATTTTAATGGGTATTTCACTGCGTCACAACTCTAACCTTCAAGTCAGAGAGTTGGCATAAGAAACAAACTTCATATGTCTGCACAGGTGGATGGTAGCTGGCAGACGATTATTTTGCTAGTTGGATAATCGACGATTATTTTGTGTTGAGAAAAGACAAYGCTATAGCCTTTTTTGTAAAACTTTGTAAGTTAAATTCTGCGCTGCCTCATGCAATGTTGCAAGATGTCACGCTAAGAGTACATGTTATGACCCTCAGCTACTTCTACTGCACCAAACTGTAGCCCAGTATCAGTAAAGTGACTGAGTTACAGTTGTTTTTGTGCTCATGTTGAATTAGGCCTTACGTTGTGCAAAAATTCCTTTTTGTTTGAGTTATTTATGAAATAAAATGGCAAAAATATAAACAAGACAGAGAATATCAAATGCACATTTCCTAAGTAAAGACATAGATATTAAATGTTTGTCATGATTCACCAGGACAAAACCACAACATCTAGTGCACCACACCATAGTCAAGTGAAGAGAGTGCATTCTCTTGAGGAACTGAACCACTGAATAAAAAAAAGCCCTTTTTTTCGTCTTGTGGTCCAATTTAACAAGGGAAATGAATGTTGAWTGATACAAGGCAGAAAGAACTTTATGATCTAAAGTCTCCTTTTGACAGTTGGACCATGAAAACACAGTCATGACTCATGACTCTTATCGCACACCCTTATTGTGACGAAAGGGGAAACCACTTTATGTGGTCTAAACGCAAGGCAAAAGAACAAACACATGCCAGAGTTCAAGGCAGGGGAGGGCGGGAAAGCGAGCGAGTGGAGGGCATGCTGTTGCAATCAGTTTACCGATTTTTTTTTTTCATTTTCATTTTTCTTTCCCATACTATCAGAAGAAGCAGCTTCCAGTAAGAGTCAGATGTTTTCATGTCACATCCTGTTGTCAGTGACAAGAGCAGCATACTTTCTCCTGTGTCTTGCTTGATGTGTTCTGGAAAATGAGCCAAAAGATTTTTTCTTACAGGGGCTTTCTGCAGGTTTGCACAGTCAGCTTTAAACAAATAATGAGCCATCGTTGGTAATGCARGACATCAGTGCAACAGGAAACAGTGAAATGTCTTGCTGTTAAGATAAAATAACTTATAACAAAATATGAGGTCAGAAACTAAATTCAGATGCATTTGCAACACTTCCTGTGAAAGATGAATTTCACTGACATGAAGTCATCAAATTAAAGTAGTCTTGTTCATTGTCTATAAATGTAAAATAAGGTTTTGACCTTTTCTTGCTGCAAGAAAGAAAAAACAAAGCTACACTGTGCTGTTTATGTTTAATGATTAAGGGTGGTGGTATGTGTGTGTGTGTGGGGGGGGAGGTATTATAATGCAAAATCGCCTTTTTGAAGCTTTATATAATTTTATGATGTCATGCAATCATTAAAAACATACCCAGTGTGTTGCTTTGACTCATTCATGCAGAGTTGAGAAATCCTTGACTCTCCTGTAGCCATGTGGAGCTGCCTAAATGCTTGCTGGTACAAAGCACCACCTATTTGTACAAAGCTCCTCCCTGGAGCTCAGTCGGCAGCTGAGCTCCCACCCCACAGAGAACCCCTCCCCCGAAGCATTGTTGGGAAAACGTGATGAAATGGGAGTGTCTGAAATGGTAGGGGGCTCTTAAAGAGACAGAGGCCAATTTCAAGGCATTTAGATAGGCTATGGTAAATGATAATGGTAAAAGGTCTGAACTTATATRATGCTTTATCAGGTCCTCAAATGGACCTCAAAGTGTGTTACACTTCAAACATTCATCCGTTCACACACACATTCACACACTGATGATGGTAAGCTACATTGTAGCCACAGCTACCCTGGGGCACAGTAACAGAGGTGGGGCTGCTAAGCACYGGCACCACCAGACCCTCTGACCAACATCAGTAAGCAAGCAGGTGAAGTGTCTTGCCCAAGGACACAACAAGTGAGACTGCTGGAATGAGGGATCAAACTAGCACCTACCAGTTACAGGACGACCCACCATTCCATCTTAGCCCATGATTTGACAGGCTATGAGGAAAAATAAAATTTATTTTTGGTATAAATAGCATTTTCATAACAACTGAMGGTAACATAGTGTAGTTACTTGATTGTGGTAAAGAATTGGACTATGTGCCTGGAGAATACATAGCACCCCTTCTTTAATGCCAGCTAAATGATGGTAAATTGTGTGCATACTGTGTGCACTTAATTACTTTACATATGTTATATTTACATAAGGAGCAAATTTGATCTCCAAATGACTGTTAAAAATCAAAAMCTGAAGTGTCAGGGAGAATTGGAAGTGCAACTGCAGAAAGCAACTTGATGGTTTGGTCCTGATTTCAAAGTGAAAAGCAGAACCTTTGTGTGCTGAGTGTAAATGACGGTTCTTTCCTCAGTAGATCCCTGTTCCTGTAAGTGACCTCAGCCACTCTTAAAAAAAAACAGTATCATGAGAGAAGCAGTCAAAAAGTAAATAAATAAAATAATACAGTTTCTCACACAGTTTTTCTGGCCAGTCATGACCCAGCATACTGGCATCAGAGTGACAAGTTGTTTAGCAATGACTCAGGCAGAGATTTACTGTATCAATCTGGGCCTGGGGGAACGTGTTGCAAAAAGAGATGCTCTGCTGCACAAAGACAAATGCCAGCTGCAGCTTGACCGGGTGAATAAATACAGAAACTGAATTTAATTCCCCACCATCACCCCACCCCCAAAAAAAAGCCTCCCAGAGGCCTGAAGTCATCCTAAGCTTCTTGCTACATCCTTTTTAAAATCTGAATCCATCTCTCTCTTTTTCTTATAAGATGAAACTGTACAGCTTGTTCTTCCTAGAAGTGGAGCAAACCAAAGYCTGAGATAACCCCAGACACAGCAGTGCTGACGCAGACTGGAGTCCCAAACCTACTGTGTAAAAGACGGCCCTTTTGTGTGTGTGAAAGACCGAGAAAAAGAGAAGAAAAGGCTGAGAAAAAAGACAGAGAGAGAAGCTGAGAGAAACGGCAGCACGTATGTGGTATCCTGTTTGGTATGAAGGGTGAAGGTGCAGCCAGACAGTGATGAGAGTCAGGTCTGACATGTCCTGTGGTCTGAGGACCAGCTGAGCAATGACGTGATGTGTCAGTTCATGTGAAGAGAAAGCTGACAGTCCAGTTAGTAAGAAAAGCTTCAGTAATTTAGAACTTATGTGCTTGTCAACATGCGTCCCAGAGCATTAGTTTCGGCGCTAAACAAGTCTGGTAAGGAAGTAGTCTTTTTCTGGTAACACATTTGATTATGGCATCACAACATATTTACTGATTACAYGAAGAAGCAACTATGAGTTGACCTTAGAACTCCTTTATGGAATTTATGGATGTTGTAAATTCAAYGTGAAACAGGTTAAATTTCCAGAGTTTACAGAAAATAACATATTTCTGTGAATAATAAATTAAGTTCCTGAATGAGGGAAGTTGAATTATGAAGAAAAAGAGTTTGGAAAAGCAAAATGCCCAGTGTGATCCATTTGCACCATAAAACAGAGACTTCAAGGACCTGTTGGTGTCCATGTGAAAGAAATTAGCAAATCATCCCATAATTATTCTTTAAATAAACACTCAGTTTACTTCACTATTGTGATGCACAATAAATTTAAGAACATCATGACTTTAAGGTGCTAAACTGTGATGATGGCAACATTTTACTTGTGCAGTATAATGAAAAAAAACAGTATTACCCTTTTAAATATTTGATTTCACTATGTAAAAGCTTAAGATTAAAAGGATGGAGTTACTAAACTGGCAAATAAAGGATGGAGTTCAAAACAGATCATCCTGACTGACTTCATCAGTGCGCATGCACAAGGTGCATTGTCTCCATGCTGGAAGACAACATTAACAGAAGAAGTACTTTGATCAGGATGAGTTTTATCTGCATTTTATTTTCTGAGCTTGTTTGTCTGGAAACTGGAAAAAAAATAAAGCAATTCGAGACCAAAGTTAAAACTTCAAACCCCTACAAAAACTTGGGAACAGAACTTATGGTTGAGTATGGAGCCTGCAAGGGGACACGGGGGGGATTTTTTTTCCTTTTGCGTTCCCACGCAATACTTTTGCGTTCCCACTCAATATTGTTTCGCGTTCCCATGCAAAAGATTGTTTTGTATATGAATTGAATTAAATCAGACTTTTATTTTGAAATATCCGGTTACCAAAACAGGATGTGTCGCCACAAGTTCGTGAAACTGACATTAATGTTGCGTGGCTGTACTGTGTTAAGAATATCGTCAAATGACATACTTCCATGCGTGGCTGTGTGATATATTCATTCTGAAGCTGAATTAAAGCAGTAGGCTAACTCGCTAATGGTGAGCCGGTGAGTTTGCTAATAAACCGGCAGGCACAACAGTGATAAACTACTTTTGCAAGGGAACGTAAAAGGTATTGCGAGGTAACGCAATACTATTGCGTGGGAATGCAAAAGAAAAAGAAATCTCCCATGTCCCCTCGCGGGCTCCGTAGTTGAGTCAAATGTCACAGAAAACACTTTTATTTTGATACAATATGGTGGCTTTTGAGATGGCGGCCATATTCTAGGTATAGCCTAGATAGGGCCACTCAGAGTACGCAAATAATGTTAGCTTGAGTCAAAAATTCTGTCGGAACACAAGTCAGGGTCCTGCTAAACCAATATTCTGTTGGTGTTATTGTGCAGGTAAGTTCACTGACTCGAAGCAAAAAGCAATTTGTTGTTGAACTTAATCAAGACATCTGCATGTAAGTGCAAAAAACTGCATGACACACAAGTGAAAAGGAGAGAGAGAGAGAGAGAGAGAGAGAGAGAGAGAGAGAGAGAGAGAGAGAGAGAGAGAG